GCCTGGCTCTCACCCGAATTGGGACAGGGTAAGAGCTTTGGAAAAAATAAACATCCCTTCCCATTCCTCCTAATGGTTATCTACCGCTCTCAGCCCTCCAGCAATGAAAACAACATCAAATACCCGAGCAAAGAGAGGGAGTAGAAGTGGGAACAGCCCTTTAAAGCTGAATGTTGAGTCAAGCACTCGGAGATGCCAAATTTTTAGCCTAGTTTCCTAAGGGAAGAAGGTTTTTTGACCGCTCTAAGTATTTGTCTGTGTGCCTACGCATGTCTAACAGATAACCCTCGTAACTTCTGAACCTCCTAGCCACCTTCAGTCAAACTGTACAGAGAAGAATCTTTTTCAGAGACAACAAAATCCCACAAGTTTTGTAATAATAAGAGCCAGACAGAGAAGAGAAACCCTGTGCATACCCAAGCCCTCATTAGCTCTCAGGGACTCTACATGGGACAGTATTTGTGCAAGCCAAGCCCCATGAGCCACATTTCTGTGTTTACAGAGGGATGCTAATTGCTCCAGGACCATCACTCTTCCAAGCTTTTGGCATTTCCTTGCTTATCTCTCTCCTTTTTGATCCGACTACATTTTTTTGGACTGGTTGAAAGAACTCCACTCCCTCTTCAAAAGAGGGACCCTTGGATGCAGGCTGTCTTTGCTACATCTGTATCATATGGCAACAATACAACATAACTTTTCAAGACCCTACACTAGTGTTTTTGTCATCACTAACCACTGGGAGCTGGAGGGAGTAAGGCTGGACTCTTTCGATGTGTAATGACTGCAGAAAAACAGAGAGAAGCATGAGAAAGCATGGGAGAATCTTACATTGCCACTTGCATTTTAGACCCTAGAAAATGTAATAGTTTGGCATAAAAATGAAGAATATTTATGGATGCATGTGTTTTGTGCTTCTCTGAACAAGCCAACTTCCAGATTAGCTACACTGGCTTTTTAAAGTGCCATAAAATATGCAAAGACACTTGTAATGTATAGTGATTTCTGCAAAAGCAGGAGGTAAGTGCTGAAATGTCTCCTGATTTATCCTTTTGATTCTCTTTAAGCCATGCTGGGAGAAGAGATGAACGCAATCCTCTACTTCCTTTTAAGCTTATCAGTCTTACTGCCTAGGTATAGATGGAAGACAAAATGTTGGTTACTATTGCTATTCCACTTGTGCCTTTCAACCACTCGGCTAATTGGAGAAGAGTAAACCCTGCCAATTTCCAAGTATCCCGACCAACGCTGGTCCCTGCTGA